GGGCTAGGGTTGACACTATTCACATAAATAGTGTCTGCCCTTGCAAAAAGTAAGTTGCACTTCCAGCAGTTGCCATGGCAAAGGGCAAGTACTATTCAATTTTTTATTTTTTTCACAAATTTGTTTACCTAAATAATTAATTTGGACAATATTTTCGGATGAGATTTTGTGATAAAATATTCGGATAAGATTTCAAATTTCAGATAAATTTCAAATTTTAAATTTCATATAAATTTCATCTGAATTTCAAATTTCAGATAAATTTCATCTAAATTTCAAATTTCGGATAAGATTTTCACCATATAAAATTGCGCCACGTGTCATAGGAATTTCAAACTTTAGATAAATTTAATTTGAAGTTCAACTTTTCAGATAAATTTCATCTGAATTTCAAATTTCAGATAAGATTTTCACCCTATAAAATTGCGCCACGTGTCATGTCTATCGACCTAAATTTTTCTATAAAACTAAGGCTCAGCTCACAAACCTCTCACACTACATCTTCTCAAAAATTTCTTTTCTCAGATTTTAGATTTCAGATTCCATATTCCATTCTCAATGGCAGACATGGAGGAGGTCTTGGAGAGGCAAGAACGAGAAATAAGAGAAAGAAGGCGTAGACGAGCTGCAAGCAAAAGAATGCAGAGAGAACTAGATCAGCAAATTTTCATGGTTGTGGCTTTGTTTGATGAAGAAAACCAGAGCAGTCGTGGTTCACATGAAGGCCGTGCACCGAATGTTGATAGACATAGGCATTCTCGGAGTAAGAATCTTATGGAAGATTATTTTATTCCAACTTCTCTGTACTCTGATGTTCATTTTCGAGGGCGATATAGAATGCAACAACATTTGTTCAATGATATTTGCAATTATGATGAATACTTTGTTCAAAAGAGAAATTGTGCTGGTGTTTTGGGACTACTTCCTGAACAAAAGTTCACAGCTGCTATACGAATGTTGGCATATGGTGCATCTACTGATCAAGTGGATGAGATTGCTCGGATGGGGAAGTCCACTGCTTTGGAGTGTTTGGTTAGATTTTGTGATGCAGTCGAAACTTTGTACACTAGGGACTACCTGCGCAAACCTACGCCCAGGGACCTGCAACGACTTCTACAGAAAGCCAAAGCTAGAGGCTTTCCAGGAATGATTGGTAGCATCGACTGCATGCACTGGCAATGGAAAAATTGCCTAACTGCTTGGCAAGGCGATTACGAGAATCGGAAAGGCCAAAAAAGCATCATCCTTGAAGCCGTTGTAGGATTCGATACATGGGTTTGGCACACCTTCTTCGGAGTTGCTGGATCTCAAAATGACTTGAACGTCCTAGGTCAATCCCCGGTGTTCAACGATGTTTTGATAGGAGAAGCCCCGCAAATCACCTATCAAATCAACAATACCGTCTACCAGATTGGGTATTATCTAGCTGACGACATCTACTCGAGGTGGACAACATTTGTGAAAACACTTCCGCATCCCCAAACCCGAAAGCAAAAATTGTTTGCCTTATATCAAGAGAAATACAGAAAAGATGTGGAGAGATGCTTTGGTATCCTCCAAGCTCGGTGGGCGATCATTAGACCATCTCCAACCCAATGGGTGGAAACCCAAATTATAGGTTTTGAGTCCAAAAAACTTCTCCAACCCATGTATTTTGGGAGGTGGAAATTTGAGAAATCTCAAATCTTGGGTGGAATTCCACCCCAAGTATTGCCTGGACTTATAATTTTTGTGGGCCCAAACTCTGCCCAAAAGCAAGCCTCAAAATAGCCCACGTGCTGGTGCAAATTGAGTGGGGCCCGTTTGCAGGAGAAGTCTGCCTCTTCCTTTAAATGTTGGCTGCATGTTGTGTTTAATTCAAATACTCGTTGAGATCCAACATCTACATTTAATATACTTTTGTAATTTGTTTTTTTAAATGTAAGCTTAATCTAACGGCCCAGATTGTCCAAGACTGATTTTAACGGAAAAAAAAATATATCCAATGACCCAAATTAAATCCAATAGTCAAAATTATATTATTTCTTAATCTACATGAGATTCAACTTTAAAACTCATTCCAAATTCTATAAATACCTACCCATTTATTAAATAATCCACTAAAATCAAATTTTAAGTGAAATTATAATTTTTTTAGGTTAAAATGTTCAGAAAAATAAATTATGAAGCTATAAAAAAAAATCAACTTAAGAAAAATTAACCACAATAGAAAAATAGAGTTAAACTATTCTGAAACAATTTAATAAATATACAGACTCAAATTTTGAGTCTGCAAGGTTGGAGGAAAAAATATTTTGAGTCCGGGCAATACATGAATAGTTGTATTTTAGAGGGTGGAAATTTGAGTTTAGCCCCAACATGGTTGGAGATGGTCTTAGGGGTGCGGCGCGTATGTTTGATGAGGAGGTGTTAAGGAGCATAATGATGACATGCATCATCCTCCATAACATGATTGTGGAGGATGAGTATGATTACGAGGCTGAAAAGGTGTATGAACCGAATCCCATGAACATGGTCTTGACAAGAATTTATGAAAAACCCATAGGGCAAAATGGAGAACCATTGGAGCATGAACCGTTGGTTAGAGATGGTCGTTTCATGAGCCGTATGATTGATTGATATACGGAGATGCAATCGTCATATATTCATGAACGCCATCAAATTGACTTAATGGAGCATTTATGGGCGGTGAAAGGCAATGACGGTGAATGAAGTGAAGTCAAGATATTTTTTAAGATTTTAATGTTTATGTTTTATGTTTAGTTATGTTTGGTTTTTTTATGCTTTGGTTGTGGTTTGTTTGTTTTTATATTTTTAATGCTTTGGTTGTGGTTAGTTATTTATGAATGGAATGATTTGAATAAAAAGGAATTTTATTTAATAGTTTCTTTGGTAACTCAAAGAAAACCAATACTACTAATAAAATAAAATACATGAATTACAACTAATTTTTAAAACAAAACATTAAAATACAATGAAATGAAAAGGTAAGCAAACTAACTTAAGGGTTTCCATCATTTAACCAATCCGTGTTGCTAGGTCCATCATCACGAAAAAGTCTTCGTCTCATAATAGCCTTTCGTTCTAGCTTCCAAAATTGTTTTGTTTCAAGAGACATATGGCTTGTATCCATGGCCATGGTTTCCCGATCCTTCTTATCTTCATTTTCTTTGCGTACATACTCCCTTTCTTTAGCAAATTCTATTTGCATTGCCCTATCATCTTCTTGGGCTTTCCTGTCTATTTCAATTCTCAAGGGGCTTTGCCTTGCAATTTCCTCCAAAAATTTAGAGGCATTACTTTTACAATTATTTCCTCTCTTTGCCTTCGCCGCCTTCCCCCCAATTGGCCTCGGCTCCCTTTGAATGGGTGAGTCTTCACCATAGGGGATTCCATAGGCGAATCCGAAGCTTGTGAATCATGGAGTGGCGTCTCGTTTAACACCACCGGTGGAGCCGTTGGAATAATGCTAAATCTCTTACAATGCTTCACCACCTCTCAACATTGGGTATGGTTGAAAGTTTTTTTCCCTTGTCCAGTAGCACCATACCACATTTGAGCTTGCACAATCTATATAAAAAAATATTGAATATGCAAGGAACATAAAAAAAATATTGGTAATGCAAAAAAGATAAACATATTAATGAAAATCCAAGAAATATTAACAAAATATAGAGAATGCAACAAACATTTAAATAAATATTAGAAATACAAGAAATATTAACAAAATATAAAAATTGCAAGAAACATTTAAAAAAATATGGAAATACAAGAAATATTAACAAAATATACAAATTGCAAGAAACATTTAAATTAAAATTAATAGGACATTAAAATTAATAAAATGAAAATTACAAATAATTTACCTCATCGCTGAGATTTTCCCCGCTTCTTTGGTTATCCATCGCTTTTGTGAGGGCATCTCTCCATTTCCCCAACTTTTTGTTGAGAATTTTCCACTGACTAGACAATGCCATTTCCGTACGGGTGGAACCCGATCTTTCAACAAATTCGTGATGAATTTTTTTTCACATTTGACTGAATTTCATCTCATTACCCGATATAGGATCATGACTAATTTGGACCCAACACTCACACAACAAGACATCTTCCATGATGGTCCATGCCCCTCTGGTTTCTTGAGAAAAAGCCATAATGATAGAGAAAAATTAAACTTGAAAGTGAAAAAAATATTGAGTAGAAAGTGAATAATAGTTGGAGAAGGAGAAGATGTACAAGTATTTGTTGTTAAAAGTGAAGAGTAGGGATTGGTATTTATAGAAAAAAATTCAGTATTTTTTGGGTATTTTTAAAAAAAAATTCCAAATTTTTTTCATAATTTTTTGCCTTGAAAAATTCCAAGCCGTTGGATTGGATGACAAAAGGAATTGGAAGGACCAGAACACGCCACATGGCATAGATCCGTTGGGGGAAAGCTGATGCATGCACAACAAATTTTTTTTAATGTTGGCACGTGCGTTGCACTCTGGCGTCACGTTGGCATTAGCAATGACGTCAGCCGCTCTTTCGGACTCGTGCTCGGGCTCCCCTTGCCTTCGGGCCAGCCCAGGTTCGTGGACCTCACGAATTGCCCGAGCCAGCCTTTGTTGCTAGAACTTGATTTTCGGCTCTTCCCCACCCCCCCAGTCCGAGCCTTAGAGCAACTCCACCCATTTGCCCTTAGCCATGGCAAGGGGGGAGCTAGGGCAGGCACTATTCACATGAATAGTGGTTGCCCTTACAAATAGTATTTTGTGTTTCCACCCGTTGCCATGGCTAAGGGCAATTACTATTCATTTTTTTGTTTTTTTCACAAATTTTTTTACCTCAATAATTAATTTGGGCAAAATTTTTTAAAAAGATTTTTGGTGTGGGAAGTGAAAAATATAACTAAGTATTTATTTTTAAAAAATCTGAATTTTTTTGTTATTTTTTTTTTAAAAATTTGTTGCTGACGTCAGCAACCCTCGTTTTGGACCTCAGGCTGAACTGGCCTTCAGGCCAGCCCGACTTGTTGGGACCCACTCCCCGGGCTTGGGCTGACCGCTGGAACTTCATTTTTCTTCTTTCCCCCCAGCCCCTGGCCCAGCTTACCGCTGGAGTCGCTCTTAGGGGGCTTCTGGAAGTGGCCTAACCCTACTGGGTTTTCACACTTGTAATATAAATACTTTTTTTGGAGAATGAAAATTATCAGAAAATATTTTACCTCATATTGTTTGACTCTTGTAAGCCCAAATTGAAATCCGAAAACTTGAAATTTTGGGGCTAAATTGAAATCTGAAAATTCTATACATATATATACAGATATATGTTAATGACCTGAATACCCTTAATATTTGCATTCCGCCTCGCACTCGGTCTCTCTGTCTCTCTCACTCTCAACCTCGTCTCCCCGAATCCGCGGCCAACTTCTTCCTGATTTCTCTATCGCTCTCTGTCAGTCGCACGTGCTCTCACTCAGTCGCTCCCGCTCTCACAGTCGACTCGCTCTTTGAGTGTCGCTCCCGCTCTCAGTCTCCCTTTCTCGATTTTTCTGTCTCCTTGAGGTAATATCTCTAAACCCTAATTTTCTATATTTTGAGCTCAAAGCTAACAAATTTATTGATGGGTCAAATGCTAGTTATTATGAGAAATTTTGAATTACCTAAAAAGCTCACCGGTCAAAACTGCTGATATCTGCACAGACACAAATTCCTCTCCGCTGAGCTGGGATTTTGGGTTTCGTAGGAATCTAAGGGAGGAAGAAATTGAAGAATTGTCCACGCTGTTCTTAAGGTTGGAACACGTGGTGCTGGTTCAGAACAGAAGTGACACTAGAGCATGGAAGTTGGAGTCCTCATGAGAATTCTCCTGTAAGTCATTCTCTAGGCATCTGATGGGTAACCCCCAACCAACTCCCTACTCTCCCTCCTTTGTAATATGGAAAGGTAAAGCCCCTCATAAGGTTAGATTATTAGCTTGGCTAATCAAACAAGGCAGAGTCAACACTTGCGACTTGGTTCAAAGGAAAAGACTTGGCTGGTACTTTTCCCCTAACTGGTGTGTCATGTGCAAAAAAAATAGTGAAACCGTAGATCATCTGTTCTTGTTATGTCCTATTGCCGCTTCCCTGTGGGCTAAGCTATTTCAGGAGGCAGGGCTAACGTGGGGCAACTACGCAACTTGTAATGCAGTGCTGGAAGCAAGACTGAACTTTTTTGGCAGTAAGAGGAAGGGATCAGTGGTGGGAAATTGTGCCATGATGGCAATATTTTGGGTAATTTTGGGCAAAGGAATAGGAGGATTTTTTAGGATATGGCTGGAGATGAGATAGAGCAGCTTTGGGATCGTATCCGATTCTGGACTTCATTTTGGGTTTCTGTTTCAGCAGAGTTTAGGGAGATTAGTTTTCAGCTCATCCATCTAGACTGGAAAGCAGTAGTCTTGTAGTGCAGAGGGTTACCCCTCTAATTGTTTGGTGACCTCCTTGGCCATCTTGTGTTTTGTTGTTTCTTTGTTGAATAATACTGTCTCCTTTCAAAAAAAAAAAAAAACTGCTGAATGTGGAATTAAGGGAAAAAATAGAGTTTTTAGTTCAAAAAAGGAAATAGTTTAAATTTTTAAACATTCTCTGCTCCTGGCTCCAAAATGTAACATTTTTGGGAAGAATATTAGTTTCTAGTTTGGTGTTTATTGTAAGATATTGCGTTGGTTTTTCATTCTGTTTTATTGTATGATTGTATATTTTTCGTCGAGTTGGGTCTATTTGTTGCCACTTATGGTAGAGTTATTTTACCCCGATTGGGGGAAAAATGTATTGATCTTAGGCTTTTTAACATCCAGTCTTTAGTTCTTAATTCTTATCTTCTTTATGATGCCATGTTCAACTCATTGTTATTTCTTGGGACAAGGAATTTTATTTTGTGTGTATGTTGTGGAAATTTTATACAATACAGCAATTATGAAAGTGATTATATCTTTTTGGATTGGTTTTATATAATATTGGGCTGTTAAGAGTCAGTAATTACTATTCAGAACTTCATAAATGTTAAAGGATTTTGTATCTCATTCAATAGGTTACTAGCTAGCTTGAAAGCAGAGAGATGGGTCTGAATTCAAGTGTGCGTGCGTGTGTGTAAGGAATGCTATTAAACGTGTGTGTAAGAGCTCAAATGTGTTTTGACATTGATGGATTCTATTGTTGTTGACTGATATTGAGTGCCTTCAGTTTGATTGATCAAACATGTAACTGAGTATCTCCTTTGTCTATTGAATGGTGAGTTTTATTTATCATTATTGATTAGAGAAAGATTATATTTTCAAGTTATTTCAAGGCTTCAAAAAGGGAAAAAAAGTTTCTTAGTATTTTGTAAACCTCTGCTGATGGATTATGAGTTTGTTTTGAATTCTTTTGGTGCGGACGTATCTGATTCTAAAGTTATTTTCTATTTTGAAGTTTGAGCTGAAATGGAAAGGAACTCAGCAGCATGTGTGATGGAATGGAGCATAGAGCTAGAAAAGGCCCTGCGCTCCAAGAAACCAGGTCGATCGCTCGAAGGCATTTCAGAAATCAGTCCAAGACTCCAACAGTTAAGTAAAGAACCAGACCCTTCTCCAGCTGTCTACCACTTGTTCGACCTAATTCCTGGCGAGGACAAGCTCTTCTCCAATGCCATCATTCTTCGTCTTGCCAATGCCTTCGAATTTGGAGACAAGCACACAAGGGTCTGTATTGTCAAGGCCTTTCTGTTTGAGTACAGGAAGAGGAACAAACGGAAAGAGTACAAAGGAGTTTTGTGCGGCATGTGTGATGGAATGGAGCATAGAGCTAGAAAAGGCCCTGCGCTCCAAGAAACCAGGTCGATCGCTCGAAGGCATTTCAGAAATCAGTCCAAGACTTCAACAGTTAAGTGAAGAACCAGACCCTTCTGCAGCTGTCTACCACTTGTTCGACCTAATTCCTGGGGAGGACAAGATCTTCTCCAATGCCATCATTCTTCGTCTTGCCAATGCCTTCGAATTTGGAGACAAGCACACAAGGGTCTGTATTGTCAAGGCCTTTCTGTTTGAGTACAGGAAGAGGAACAAACGGAAAGAGTACAAAGGAGTTTTGTGCGAAACTCGGGTTCATATGCAGGCAGAATTGCTGAGGAGAGTTAAGGTTGTGTTTGACAATGAGGATGTTGAAGATCGGGCTTTGGCTTTGGGTCTGTTTGGCTGTTGGGCACATTTTGCTAAACCGACTGCGAGTATGCAATACTTGGTGCTTTCTAGTATGGTTTGTTCTCATGTCTTGGAGGTACAAGCAGCGTTATTTGCAGCAGGATGTTTTGTTGAGTTATCAGACGACTTTGCATGTGTTGTCTTGGAGATGCTGCTTCATATGATGAGCTCACCAGAAACGTTGCCTGCTATAAGGTTGGCCGGAGCACGATTATTTGCCAAACTTGGGTGCTCCCAGTCTCTTGCAAATAATGCTTACAAGGTTTAATTATAATTCAATTTTTTTACCTGACTTCTATTGGAAATTGTTGCATTTAGAATATTAGTTTTTCACTTTTGTATTAGATTCTAATGTTCACTGAACATTGCTTTGTTGCAGGCAAGTCTAAAATTGCTGTTGGAGTTCTCAGATGAGTATTACCAGGTTGCGATGCTGGTTTCCCTCTCAAAACTTGCTTCCAAGTCAACCATTCTTATATCTCAGCAGGTAATTATTTTGGTTGCACCCACCCTCTCTCAAAATTATTGGCCCATAATTCTTATTGCTATCTCAATGCAGGTGGACCTGCTTCTCTTGTTTCTTAGCCATTAAAAAACTCTTCATCTGCGAGCAACAGCAGTTAGATGCCTACATTTTATTTTCAGTCAAGGAATGTGTCATGTTCCTGTAAATGGATATCTTGTGAAAACATTGTTAAGCATACTAGATGAACCTCAAATTCCAACATCCATGCTATGTGAAGTTCTTCAGACGTTACATAAGGTTGTTTCTCAACTCATACAAATGAACTTGTTATTTGTTGTTCAATTTATGTTGTCTCACATTCAGCATTTTCGCAGATGATTTTATTTATGCCACCCAATCTACCTACTGATGTCCTTGAATCTTCGAAGCTTTTAAGCATTGCTGAGAATGCATCCCAATCTCCTATCATGATCGAGAGCCTGTTGGCTATTTCTGTTTTAGTAGATATGTCAAGAAGACTAAAAGGAAGTACAGGGATGGGATCTCTTGTGCGTTGTTCCTCTCTTCAACCATCTCAGGTGATTTTGCTTATCATAGATCAGATCGCCATATTGGTGAAGCCAATTTGGATCTTTGTCAGGCTGACAGTGTTGAGTTTCAACAAGTTAACTGCCTGTTCAATCTTCTTTTCCTTGTAATCCGAGAATATCCGGATTTACATGTCTTAGTGCTGGATCAAATATCTGTTTTAGTGAAGTCTCTGTTATATAAGGATGACAATCTCGTTGCGACAATAGAAACAGATGCGATTGTTCATCATAGTGTAGACTTGAAAGGAGAGGAGTAGAATTGTCAGATCAAAGCTTCTATTTAAGGTGTACAGATTTTTAGTGACCTTTCTTGAAAATCTCACTGAAGCTGGTGCCATCTCCACTGAAGTATTTGACAAAGTGAAGCTTCTGGTCGAACTTGTATGCCAAAGCAACTTGTTTGAATGTTATACATACACACTCTACTCTCTGTTGCTGCGTCGTCAAAAAATTTGGGGTAACATGGGAAATGAGAGTGAGGGAAGTCGCAATCCTGATAAAAACTAGGGCATATCTCTTGATAATTACTCAATGAACCATGAACTTCGTACCATTGAATGTGCAAAGAGGATGTTGGCAGAAAAAAATAATTGGCCTGCTTATAAAGTCGGGGTGTATGCGTGTCAAGGAGATTGGCTGACCACGACTTTTATATTCAAGCAATTAGTATTAAAGGTTCGTTCTAATTCCTGCAGCTGCTGGGTGAAGTCATTAGTTCAATTTGCTGATTCTGAGAGGAAACTAGAGCTACTGCTATTACCGAAACAAGGGTTAGAGACACATAAATTACATCTTACCCCTTCCAATAATGATTTAGGTTGCCAAGATGCAGCGAGTAATATCAAGGAGCATATTTACAGCAAAGAGCTAGCAGCAGCTTACAATGGTCTTTGTTCTTCTTTGGAAACATTAAAAGTTGGTAATGTCAAAACAGGCCACACTTCTTTTTTCCAACACTGGTTTTTGTCCTTAAGATTGAAGGTAATAAGGGCTGTGGTGGATATAGTTAAAATTTTGGGAAACATTCCATTTGACCAGGACAACACTACCAATACTGTGAAGGTCGAGAACATATCTTTGCAGAAAATTAATCAAATATCTCTGCAGTTGAAGAGGCTAGCACGAGAATTTGATCTAGTTACAACATCTTTCATTGACATGGACAACAAGAGTTCAAAAATAATTTTGGAACTTGCAATGAGTTGTTCGCTGTTGGCCTTCTGTACTGGATTTGCTCTCTACATTCCGAGCCTAACTAAAACTATTTCTAATAGTGGTCTGGGAATTCTAGAGAGAGATTTAGACGCAATGTTGGTTCAAAATCTAGTTGGACGGTTGGGGAACACTAACCATGAAACCAGGAGAAATCTATGTCTGCTATTGGAGCCGGGTAGAAATCCCATGGATTGTTTTCACATGCAGTCAAGAACCCAAGCATGTAAGATTGGTTCTAAAGCAAGGGATATTCTTAGTGTTTGTAATTATGCGGTTTCAGGGATTGCTGGCTTGAAACGTAAGGCAAACAGAGTGCATAATGAGGAAGGACTATCCCAACTACCCAAGGATGGCTTAAAGCTTCTGTATGACATTCTTATGAAATGGATGCAAATCCCTTTCCGTACTGCCACGTACTTCTTTAAATTCAGGTACGCTGTCAGACTCTTTATTTTAACTAGGAAATCTTTTTGTTGATTTCTCAACATCATTTGGCCTTGATTTTGAGTTTATAAAATGGAATGAAAAGTAAAAGGGAAGAGGACAAACCGAGAGTAGAAAACCTTAGCTGCCCCTCCTTTTGATTTGATGTTTAAGAGGGATACGTCATGATAAGAGAATCTCTCTATGCATATCATATGCTTTACCCAGTTTTAACTGTGTAATTTTTGTCAGGTTATCTATTAACATCATTTTATTAATTATATGATTTTTTCTTTTCCATTTACACCATCATTCTAACATTTATGATTTACATAAATTTCAGGCCTTGCCGTGGGTCAGAACTCTTCACTGTCAACGAAACTAGAAACCCAGATGGAATATATGTTTCCCCAGGCTTCAACTTGTCATTAAATCTGTGTCTTCAATTAAGAAATGTGGCACCAGATATTCCAGTCCGGTTTAAAAATGTGTACTGCATGCTCTACAGTAGCATATCCTTTCAGGAACCAACAGAAAGTGGAGTAAACAATCAGCAAAAGCAAGGTACTTATCAAGCTTGTGAAACTGATGACATGGTAGAGATGAATGACAAGCTGTTGCAGTATGCAACAGAGTGCAGTACAAAAAAGAGTAATAAGCGTCGAAGGGGCAACAATGATGGTGAGTTTGTAAATTCGTTCTTGCGTTTCGAACTGAATGAAAGAGGGCAAGGGTTCTCAAATTGCTTGCTTGATGTTTCTGCTTTTCCAGTGGGTTCTTATAGAATCAAATGGCATAGCTGTTGTATTGATAGCCAGGGTACTTGTTGGACCCTCCCCCATTTGAATTTGGGACCTGTATTTACTGTACATAGGTTATAGGTTGATTTGTTAATAAATTAAACCAAACTTGTAAATGATCTTGTTCTCTGAATTGATTCTACTGTAAAGTTTGTAATTTTTTCAATCTACTTTATGAAGAAATTGTATCCTGCAATATAGCCAATGTCTGTTCAATGTTGGGATTTACACTTGGGAAGCTTGAATTGTCTGTTTTGTGAGTTTCATGTGTGTTAGTGCAAAGCCAGAACAGACAATGTGCAGTTCATCCTGCATTTAGACTTTGGAAGCTTGACTATGGCATTGCTTTTCACTAACAATGCTCATGCCAATATGGCATAAAACTTCGAAAAAAGAAATGGAGACTAAAGCCTGAGCCATGCATATCGCTAACAGGTAAATATCACTGATTAAAGCTGATAGGTTCTTTTTATAAATGGAGCTGAAGACTGAACCATGTATATCACTGGGAACTCTGCTTCGTTACTTGTTTGTTGCTGATATACATGATATAGTGTCTGTTGCAGTGGAGAAATTGGTTAATTATCACATTTTAACCTGTCGAACTCAGAATATGGTTCTTCTTGCTTAATTGTGTTGGTTTTGGATGCGGAGATGGACATTTGTGAGCATGAGTGTTCGTTTTAAGTATCATTTAGTTCTAAATATGATCCTCTTCCTTATTTTGCGAGAATGGAGATAAACAACAACACTGCATCTTCCTCCAAGTTAAACTTATGTTTAATAAAATTTAGTTCGTGTTTTTATAGGTTTTGTGCAAACAAATCTATATTCTCATTTGCTTCTCTACTCATGAATTTGACTATTGTATAAATTCTGTGGTTTGCAATTGCAGGGATTTGATGTGATCCTAGGAAAAATTAGACAGGAAACAAATTTGCATTTTGATTAATTTGTGTTGTGTTATTTTGGTATCAGTAAACTTTTGTTCTAATTCTTGTGTTGATGCTATTAAAGGTTCGTTCTAATTCCTGCAGCTGCTGGGTGAAGTCATTAGTTCAATTTGCTGATTCTGAGAGGAAACTAGAGCTACTGCTATTACCGAAACAAGGGTTAGAGACACATAAATTACATCTTACCCCTTCCAATAATGATTTAGGTTGCCAAGATGCAGCGAGTAATATCAAGGAGCATATTTACAGCAAAGAGCTAGCAGCAGCTTACAATGGTCTTTGTTCTTCTTTGGAAACATTAAAAGTTGGTAATGTCAAAACAGGCCACACTTCTTTTTTCCAACACTGGTTTTTGTCCTTAAGATTGAAGGTAATAAGGGCTGTGGTGGATATAGTTAAAATTTTGGGAAACATTCCATTTGACCAGGACAACACTACCAATACTGTGAAGGTCGAGAACATATCTTTGCAGAAAATTAATCAAATATCTCTGCAGTTGAAGAGGCTAGCACGAGAATTTGATCTAGTTACAACATCTTTCATTGACATGGACAACAAGAGTTCAAAAATAATTTTGGAACTTGCAATGAGTTGTTCGCTGTTGGCCTTCTGTACTGGATTTGCTCTCTACATTCCGAGCCTAACTAAAACTATTTCTAATAGTGGTCTGGGAATTCTAGAGAGAGATTTAGACGCAATGTTGGTTCAAAATCTAGTTGGACGGTTGGGGAACACTAACCATGAAACCAGGAGAAATCTATGTCTGCTATTGGAGCCGGGTAGAAATCCCATGGATTGTTTTCACATGCAGTCAAGAACCCAAGCATGTAAGATTGGTTCTAAAGCAAGGGATATTCTTAGTGTTTGTAATTATGCGGTTTCAGGGATTGCTGGCTTGAAACGTAAGGCAAACAGAGTGCATAATGAGGAAGGACTATCCCAACTACCCAAGGATGGCTTAAAGCTTCTGTATGACATTCTTATGAAATGGATGCAAATCCCTTTCCGTACTGCCACGTACTTCTTTAAATTCAGGTACGCTGTCAGACTCTTTATTTTAACTAGGAAATCTTTTTGTTGATTTCTCAACATCATTTGGCCTTGATTTTGAGTTTATAAAATGGAATGAAAAGTAAAAGGGAAGAGGACAAACCGAGAGTAGAAAACCTTAGCTGCCCCTCCTTTTGATTTGATGTTTAAGAGGGATACGTCATGATAAGAGAATCTCTCTATGCATATCATATGCTTTACCCAGTTTTAACTGTGTAATTTTTGTCAGGTTATCTATTAACATCATTTTATTAATTATATGATTTTTTCTTTTCCATTTACACCATCATTCTAACATTTATGATTTACATAAATTTCAGGCCTTGCCGTGGGTCAGAACTCTTCACTGTCAACGAAACTAGAAACCCAGATGGAATATATGTTTCCCCAGGCTTCAACTTGTCATTAAATCTGTGTCTTCAATTAAGAAATGTGGCACCAGATATTCCAGTCCGGTTTAAAAATGTGTACTGCATGCTCTACAGTAGCATATCCTTTCAGGAACCAACAGAAAGTGGAGTAAACAATCAGCAAAAGCAAGGTACTTATCAAGCTTGTGAAACTGATGACATGGTAGAGATGAATGACAAGCTGTTGCAGTATGCAACAGAGTGCAGTACAAAAAAGAGTAATAAGCGTCGAAGGGGCAACAATGATGGTGAGTTTGTAAATTCGTTCTTGCGTTTCGAACTGAATGAAAGAGGGCAAGGGTTCTCAAATTGCTTGCTTGATGTTTCTGCTTTTCCAGTGGGTTCTTATAGAATCAAATGGCATAGCTGTTGTATTGATAGCCAGGGTACTTGTTGGACCCTCCCCCATTTGAATTTGGGACCTGTATTTACTGTACATAGGTTATAGGTTGATTTGTTAATAAATTAAACCAAACTTGTAAATGATCTTGTTCTCTGAATTGATTCTACTGTAAAGTTTGTAATTTTTTCAATCTACTTTATGAAGAAATTGTATCCTGCAATATAGCCAATGTCTGTTCAATGTTGGGATTTACACTTGGGAAGCTTGAATTGTCTGTTTTGTGAGTTTCATGTGTGTTAGTGCAAAGCCAGAACAGACAATGTGCAGTTCATCCTGCATTTAGACTTTGGAAGCTTGACTATGGCATTGCTTTTCACTAACAATGCTCATGCCAATATGGCATAAAACTTCGAAAAAAGAAATGGAGACTAAAGCCTGAGCCATGCATATCGCTAACAGGTAAATATCACTGATTAAAGCTGATAGGTTCTTTTTATAAATGGAGCTGAAGACTGAACCATGTATATCACTGGGAACTCTGCTTCGTTACTTGTTTGTTGCTGATATACATGATATAGTGTCTGTTGCAGTGGAGAAATTGGTTAATTATCACATTTTAACCTGTCGAACTCAGAATATGGTTCTTCTTGCTTAATTGTGTTGGTTTTGGATGCGGAGATGGACATTTGTGAGCATGAGTGTTCGTTTTAAGTATCATTTAGTTCTAAATATGATCCTCTTCCTTATTTTGCGAGAATGGAGATAAACAACAACACTGCATCTTCCTCCAAGTTAAACTTATGTTTAATAAAATTTAGTTCGTGTTTTTATAGGTTTTGTGCAAACAAATCTATATTCTCATTTGCTTCTCTACTCATGAATTTGACTATTGTATAAATTCTGTGGTTTGCAATTGCAGGGATTTGATGTGATCCTAGGAAAAATTAGACAGGAAACAAATTTGCATTTTGATTAATTTGTGTTGTGTTATTTTGGTATCAGTAAACTTTTGTTCTAATTCTTGTGTTGATGCAGTGGATATCTTGTTATCAACTTGGTTGAAATGAAAAGCTTTCTGATCAGTTTTGGTAAATATGTCTTCATTATTTTGTTCTAGGTTGTTCAAATAATTGAAATTATAACATGGTTAGGCTTTTAAATTTCAGTGTCATTTTTAATAGTGAAGTTCGGATTCGAATGAACTATATTTTATGCCATCAAGATATATTGAAGATATTATCTTTTTAAAATCGACCAGGACAACACTACCAATACTGTGAAGGTCGAGAACATATCTTTGCAGAAAATTAATCAAATATCTCTGCAGTTGAAGAGGCTAGCACGAGAATTTGATCTAGTTACAACATCTTTCATTGACATGGACAACAAGAGTTCAAAAATAATTTTGGAACTTGCAATGAGTTGTTCGCTGTTGGCCTTCTGTACTGGATTTGCTCTCTACATTCCGAGCCTAACTAAAACTATTTCTAATAGTGGTCTGGGAATTCTAGAGAGAGATTTAGACGCAATGTTGGTTCAAAATCTAGTTGGACGGTTGGGGAACACTAACCATGAAACCAGGAGAAATCTATGTCTGCTATTGTTATCTGGAAAAATGATTGGATTCAAATATATTATAAATCAAACACAAAATAATATTATCTAGCAAATCCATCTTCTTAGTCCCATATTAGACCAAACTCATAGATAATAATCTAAGAAGAGAAAGAGAAGTTTTATACCTTACGATGAGTGATTTAGTTCACAAAGAAGAGGTGAAGTGGAGACAAAGGGGACATTTAGTTCACAAAGAAGAGGTGAAGTGGAGACAAAGGGGAAAAATCCAGTGGGCAAGAGAGGGAGACAGCAACACTAAAGTTTTTCATTGTATGGCAAGTGGCAGAAGGAAAATAAATTTTATTGAGAAGTTGGAAGTAGAAGGTTCTGGAGTGATTGTCAGTGAAGAGGAAATTGAAATTGAGATAATTAATTTCTTCAAAAATCTTTACACTAGCAACGTTGAGGTGGGGTGGTGTTTGGAAGGTTTGAATTGGAGTGCTGTTGAGGCCCAAAAAAGTCACGAGAAGCCCAAAGACATTTAAGGCCCAATATAACATATAATTTTGGTCATGCGTTAATCCAAGTTATATTTTGGGAATTAATTCATTAAATAAATAATAGTGCTTAGTGTTTGTAATTATGCGGTTTCAGGGATTGCTGGCTTGAAACGTAAGGCAAACAGAGTGCATAATGAGGAAGGACTATCCCAACTACCCAAGGATGGCTTAAAGCTTCTGTATGACATTCTTATGAAATGGATGCAAATCCCTTTCCGTACTGCCACGTACTTCTTTAAATTCAGGTACGCTGTCAGACTCTTTATTTTAACTAGG